GTTACTGGAGGAAAGTGGGGTAGAGGCCAAGGAAACCCTAGCCAGACCAGTGACTCTAGTGCCCGATGCGTGAGTGCTTCTGAGAGCTGTCTCAGAGGGGTGAACTTGACTCTTCCTGAGGGCCCTGCCTTTCCCTGCCTCTCAGTCAGATGCAGTGATTTAAGTCAGGGGCCCCAAACCTGGCTCGCCATCTGATGCCCTGGGCAGGTTCAGGTGCAGCGTTGTGGGCCTCTCCCAGACTGTTGTTCAGTGTGTCTAAAATAAGTCCAAGAAGTTGAGTTCAAGGCAACCACATTTGGGAATCTCTGCTTTTTTTTTATTGTTGTTGTTGCGGATTGTTGATAATGTCTTATTTTGAAAGAATTTCAGACTTAAAAGTTGCAAAAATAGGGCAGAGTTGCTTTGTATCCTCCAGCTTCTCCTAATGTTAACACTTTACATAACCACAGGACAACTTATTTAACTAAGAAGTTATCATTAGTACAGTGTTTTTAATCAAACTATAGGCTTTATTGAGATTTCACCCATCTTTCAACTAATATCTTCTTTTTGTTCCATGATCCTACCCAGCGTCCCACGTTGCATTAGTCATCATGTCTCCTTAGTCTCCTCTGATTTGTGGAGGACATTTCATGACATTGACACTTTTGAAAAGTAGTGGTCAGTTATTTTTGTAGAATGTCTGCCAATTTGGGAAACCTTTGCTTTTAAGGGACAGGATTTTATATAAATATATATAAAAAAAAGATGGAGGGTAAAAATAAGAAAAAGAATTCAGATGGTTAAATGACTTTGACCAAAAAAACCCCACAGGAAGTCTGACATTGAATTGCTGAGAACTCTTCACCTTAATTAAAATTCCCTATTCTGAAGTCCAAAGGGGCATGATTGGACCTGCCATTGTGACTTGATGTGGCAGGTAGACCAAGGAGACCTGAAGGGACCAGTGTGAATTGCAGCAGAGACAATTACCTCCTAACCACAAGACACGTATATTTAAAGCATCTCAACATTCTGATACTAGTTTCTATAATATTAGACATACTCTTCCCAGTATACCCAGTAGAAAAATTTTAGACTCTTAGGGATTAAAAAAAAACAACCAAAAATCTTATTTTCAAATTACGTTTGACATTATGTGGAACAAAACATCTGTCAGTGAAAGAGCACAAATGGGTTTCTGTCATGTGGAAGTAAAGCTTGGTCGATTTCTCATTGGCATGAAAGACTGTCAGAAAATGTCTTGCCAGGCTTCAGCAGGGCACAGCTGTTTCCAGCATGGGCCATGATCCAAACGTCCTGGCTCAAATCCTTCTCTACCACTTACTGTGTACCCTTGGGCCAGTGACTGGATCTCTCTGTGCTGCCATTTGTTCACATAGTGGGGAGATAACAACAGTCCCCTTATCATATGGTTTCCATAAAGATTCAGTGAAACAATCCGTGTGCACCACAGTAAGTAGCAACCACCGTCATCATTGTTCCCAGATTCGACTCACCTTAGCAGAGAGTCACCTGAGAGAACTTTGTAGGATTTAAAAATGTTTTCATTTTTAGGGAGAAAAAGAAAAAACTTAAGGTTTTTCTCTGAGTCCCCAGACAGTCTTGTGCTGCATGTTGACAGCAGAGTCTTGTGCTGGATATGATAATCCTGCGTCACACTTGGGCATCATGAAAGCTATCACAAGTGCCTGGGGCACAGAGCAGCTGCTGGTGCCAGTAGAGTGACCCATGCTGTCTGTGGAAGGGCTGCGAAGCAGCCCGGGATAAACATTTCCAGTCTGTTCGCTGTTAAGCTGCTTTGGGGAGGGGAGGCAGTCACGTGTGCAGGGCTGGAGAGCAGCTTCAGTTCAGCCAGAGCACTCAAGTGGGCCAAGAAGTGGGGAGAGGGGTGGGGCTAGATAGTATCTCATCAGATCTTAGCCCAGCCCCCACCTCACCCCAGTACTTGAGAAATCCCCCTATTCTCAGAAGAGTTGCTTCTACTATAGAAGTGTAGTTTGTACAATTCCATATCCTGCCAGTCCCTGTTTTCTAGTCCCCTTGTTATGTCCCCAGTCCTTTTTTGCTTTCTGGAAACTTTTTGAGTGAGAGCCAACTCCCTGTTTAGACACGGTCTGCATCCCTGAGCGTTTCTCCTCACACTGTGTCCCCATCAGGCCCCTGCCTCCCAGGGCAGGAGGCTATGTTCTCAACACTTGGCTCAGGGTAGACACTCAAGTAGCATTTTCTGAATGATGAGTGAACTGAGGAGCAGATGGACAGATGAACAGAGGCCCTTCTTGTGCATGGCTTAAATTGGGGGTGCCACACTAACTTCAGCTGCTGACTGTCCTGTCACATGTTCTTTCAATGGCAAAGTGAATTGATTTTGACTCTTTAAAAAGGAAGGGTTCAGATTCTTAAGGTCTTTTTCACAACACTAAGGCGTTAATATATTTCTAAGAGAATTTATCTGAATTGTTGTGAAGGCTCACAGAAAGTAGGATTTCATACATGGGGAAGATTTTTCTGTGAATACTCACTTTTCAGGGACACATATGGCAAGCAAGGGGAACTTAGCCTGTACTAGCTTTTACCCCACAGCAGAGGACACGTGAGCCTAGGCTGGATGGGTGAGGCAGGGACCCACGTAGTCTGGAGCATCGAAAGCAGAGTGGGCCCCCGAGTGTGAGGGCACAGCTGTGGGGTCAGGCAGTAAGGCTGATGTGGGCACCACTGAGCTTTGTTCTCTTTTCTGAGCCTGTTCTAGAAAGGCCAGCCCAATATCCAAGTCTATTAGTAGGTTATTACACATGTGAGGTGCCAGGGTCCTTATTCAAGTATTTACAGGACCTGAACACGACAGTTACAGGACTAAAGCAGATGTGTGAATGAAGTGTGAAAGAAGCATCTTCACATACCTTCGTGGGCAAAATGCCCATCAGCCTGTGGGGTCTTTTCTAGTCATGCAGCTGAGAGTACATACCTAAATGCACAAAAATTATGGTTCGTAGACACATGTCCATGCCATCTTCTGCGGCTCATGAAATTTAAGATGCCTGCTAGCACAGCACGGGCTTCTTCAGGCAGTGTTTTCTATCTTGGTTAAGAGGTCTTAGCAGTTCTTTCTTGTCAAGAATGAGAGATACTTTATCTTATTTTATGCTCTTAGAATGGCTATCTTTCTTTAACAAACACTTTAAGGAGTGTTTAAAGAACATAAAGAACTAGTATTTTTATTGCTGCCCCTAGAACAAATTCCGTTACTCAGTTAAATGCAGTCTGCCTCCAGCCAAGACTCTGGAGCCAAACATTCTGTCTGGTCAAGTTCGACACTCAGTCTGGAGTCCAGGGGGCCAAGGGGGGAGTGGGGAGCTAGCACAAGAGCAGCTGCAGATGGCTGGCTCTGGGGCCCAAAGCGAGGCTTGGAAATACAATTGTGTGGGTGGCATGACTTGCAGATACCCCTCACTGCAGATCCTGTGTCTCTCTAAAAATCCATACTTGATGTCTGTGAGTCTTCCATAGGAGTTTTGATTCTTTGAGTTAAATGCTGAGCACACAATAGGTTCTCCATAAATTATTTGTTGAGTGATCAGTTGATGGATTAGATATTGGCTTTTGTTCAAAGTGCTGATTCCTAGGAGAGAAGAAGCCATTAATTAATAGATTTTAGTCCCTGTTCATTCTACCATGGGCATGGGTCTTTCAGATCCTTTGTTCACAGGCTAGGTGAGCTTTTGTCCAGGGAATGATGTGGAGACATAGAATATGGGGTGTTGCCTGCAGACCCATGACGGGAGGCCCTGGCCTCTGGGGAGGAGATGAGGGGAGCTGGGTCTGGCAAGGGAAATGGGAAGCCACTATGGGTGAGCTTTGCTTTCTCTGCAGTATCCTGCCCTGATCATCTGTGACTCTGGCTGATTTGGGGCTTAGGGTAGACGATAGATCCATAACACACTTCCTCTGAAAATAGAACAAATACCCCAAACTCTGTATGATCTTTAAAGAAATACAGAGTAGGCCAAATGCAATTTGTAAATTAAGGGAAATGTAATTAGTCAGAAATGAAAGGACTTGTCTTGGGAGAAGCAGCTGCCCTCTCATCTAACCTTATCTAGTCTTTATTTTGACATCAAAATTGATCAGTACTAAACAACGGGAAAAACCATAATGCAAGCTAAACACAGGCCAATTCTAAGTCAGTTGAATGAGCGTCCCTCCAGTTGCCAGTTGTAAACATCCAATGAAAGTGGTCATTGGCCGTTCTTGAGCCCTGTGTGTGTTGTAGAGACCAGTCACCAAATCTACCCAGAAGTTGGCGGTTTGCTCCTCGGCATCCTTTCCATAAGGAGTCACTGGTTATTTTAATCATTGTCTCTAGACACCCTGAGATGAGTTGAGACTAAAACCCGCAGTATGGAGAGATTCATCCTGACTGCTGCCCCTTGCCCTGGGTTCTGGTAACACCTTGCTCTGTGGGGCCATGGGTTCTTGGGTATGTCCCCAGCTATGGTTGTTGGATCTTTCTGAGCCCCCACCATGCACTAGTTATCTTCCCTAGGTATGTCACTGGAACTCGCGTTTTCCTATGCTCTGTAATTAACTTTCCACTCTGATACACTCCTTATTCTGGGCAGATGCTGAGGTCTCAGCATGCCATTTGCTCTTCTGTAGTTTGTGCCCATTTCTCAGAAACTTGTGAGGACGAGCCTCTCCTCCCTTCCTTCTGTCCCCCTCCTCACCCCCCAACTCCTCTCAGCTCTCCAGGTCCGTACCCATGGCCTCTTCAGGTCAGCCTGTTGTAGCCCCAAAATTTTCCCTGCCCTGGCAGACAACCCACCAGGGCACTTCAGCAAGAGCAGGGTGGTGCAGAACGTGAGCCCCGTGGCTTCCCTGAGAGTCTATGGGTGGGAGGTGGGGCAGGGGGTGCTGGTGTACTGACTGCTGTATGCCTTGCTGCTAATACCGCCTTCTCTTCTCATCCCCTTGGCTGTGACCTGCGGGTGACACTGCAGTGCGGAGGACCCTGAAGAGTGGCCTAACTCCAGAAGAAGCCAGAGCCCTGGGCTTGGTGGGCACCTCAGAGTTGCAGCTGTGATGCTCGCTCGTGGGCTACCCTAAGAAGTATGCTGAGCAAAGGGAAGCTCTTGCCGGATGGAACCTCTCCAGCGGGGGAGGGGGGAGACTTGACATCATCATCTGATGGTTCGGGAAGGGAGCACTCTTTTCAAGGGGTCACCACGAGGCTTGTGTTGCCCATGACGCATTGACGTGGATCTCCAGGAGTCTCCTGCACATACCTTCTTCATTGTGTCAGCTGTGTTTCTCTCGATTCCTTGACACCTGGTTTATTAGTTCCAAAGTGTGACACCTTTTCTGGGCCAGGAACAGCCCTTTTAAGGAGCAAATCACTTCTGTCACAGTTATTATGGTAATATGAGGTAATTTGATTAGATTCACAGACTGGGTCTCCACAACACCAAAATATCCAGATGTAAACTCCAAACTTGTACACAAAGAAAGCACAGATTGTTTACCAGTTGTGGATTTTAGATGTACTAAATGTTTATACAAATTCATAAATGTACACCATGATTCAAATACTAAATAAACAGAGTTTAATGTCATAATGAGAAACTTTTTTTCTCCTGAGTGTAGGACCATAAACAGCTACACAGGCTCTCCTCCTAATTCAGCAAAAGCTCTTCTCAGTGTCATCAGAAGGACCCTTGCCTTCATGTCCTTTGGGTTGTATACTGTTAACACAGTGAGGAGCATCAACCATGTGCTCTTTGAAACTCCTGATTTAGTTAGGCATAAGTTCCTGTTGCAGGACATGTTATCTATTGTTAACCTTACATCACCTTCCCAGTGGTTTGTTTTACCCCATTGTGATGCTGAAGCAAAAATCAGAGATGCATTTTACAAATCTGAACTATTCTGCAACTCACTTAACTTGCCTCTTACGTAAAAATTTTTCTCAAAAAATTGATGAAATAACTAAAACAAAATGGAAATTTAAAGCTTTATCTACAGAGACCCTCAGACTTGCACATTTAGTAATTGTTTCTCAAGTACAGGGCATCGGGAGCTGAGGTCAGAGCAGAAGGTGCTGGAAGGAGCTGTCAGCAACTGCAGAGCAGCACGAGGGGGCTGGTGGGGCCCAGGTAGTGGCCAAGCCCTCCACAGAAGCCCTTTGGCCCAAGGTCGTGTGGTTCCCCACGAATAACTTGTGCCTCTGGAAACAGGGAAAGGCAAACCACTGCAGTATTTTGGGGGGTTGAAAGATCATCAGGTCACTAATTCCATCTTTGCCTTAGTTTGAAAACCTCTGAGACTCTGTATTCCTGAATCAGAGAATGTATGATTTATAGACAATATGTAGTAGTATTGCCTAAAAAGCCTAAGATAATGTATTCGCTCCACAGGCTTCTGTGACTGTGTTCCCCTCTCTGCTCTATCCCCGCTGATTGAGACAGGGAGACCTTTCAAGTAGGCCCTTGTCAAATAACACATGATGGGTGTGAGCACCCAGGAGAGCATGGAACTGCAGGAGTTAGGTTGTATATTAAGACAATTGAGTTTATTTAATCACCTTATTGAAAAGGGTACATAGGGTATTAATATTCATTTTCCTCATGGTTCTAAATAACATGTGATATATTCTACATATGGTTTAGTGGTATGAACATTTTCCTGTTTCCTTGGCACTGAATACAACATGGAATGTCTGTGTCATGTGAGATAGTAATGTACAAACCAAAGAAGCTGCATTTTTGTCACACTGTTTAGTGAACAAACACTTTAGTGCCCTTCCGGAGGCCCTTGGTATTCTGCTGAGAGTTGTTGCTTTAGAATAAAAAGTTACATTTGGAAGGAAGTGACCAAAAAATCTAATGTTAATTTCATTTTAGGGATCAAAAAATTCTCAGAAGCAAGATTAATTTCTTGCTTACAGCCAGGATAAAAGGGTCTCTTCTTTTTTTTTTGTCTTTTGTCTTTTTTCCGTGTCCGGCAACGGATCGCAACCCTCAGTGTTGCCCCCGTACCGGACCAGGGACCGGCAACGGGATCGCAAGCCTCGGTGTTGCTCCTGCGCCTCGCTCAGCCAGTGAGCGGGAGCCGGTCTGCATGTGGGATCCAAACCCTCGGACGGGAGCGCCACCGCGCTTCCCAAGCGGCGCACTATCCAGTGCGCCACCGGGCCGGCCCTGATAACCTTAAGACTTTAGGTAATTTGCCCAGGATTACATAACTAATTAGTGACAGAGCCACTAGTCTGTCTGACATCAGAACTGTCCTGCCTCTTAGATTTCTTTTGACATTTCAGTGTTAATCACTAATTATTGATGGTGGTTTTTCAGGTTTTATGGCAGGAATTCTTCCTATGTTCATGGTGGAGTAGATGCTAGTGGAAAGCCCCAGGAAGCTGTTTATGGCCAAAATGTAAGTATCAATTTCATATATATTTTAGAAATTTCAAAAATAACGTGCCCATGGACAACTTCTTCAATGTGCTCGTTAGTTGTAATTGGAATTTATTTTTCAGTATTGTCAAGTATGCTTTGAAGTCTTAATTAAACATCCATTTTTGTATGAAACATGTTATTACATTGGGATGGATGCAAAGGAGAAAATGAGATATATTATATGCTTGATGTATTTTATACATGAAATAGTTGTGTATGAGATTATACAAATGTGGACAAAACTCTGTATTACAGTAATGCACAAAAGTATATACTCCTTAGGAATTAACAGGCAAGGAAAACTTTGTATAGAATGTTGGACTTCAGCTAGAGAGGTGAACCCAGAGGTCCCATCCACGCATGTCGTCGAGGGGTACTGAAGAGGTACCAGTGAGGGTCCCTGTAAGCCCTGCTTGCAGGGTGGTTCTAGAACCTTCTGTTCTAGATCATCTCTCTTCCTTTTGGATTGTTCAGTTCCTCTAGGGGAATAGATCCTTCAAAAAGGCCTAGAAGAGCCTAGAATACTCAATCTGCATCTCTTATTTTTAATTTTTTCAGTGGCTGCCCAGTACAGGCATCTGAACCCCTGACCTTGGTGTTATAACACCATAGTCTAACCAACTGAGCTCATGGGCCAGCCCTCAATCTGCATCTTTAAACTTAGTAGTTTAGTAGTTTTTCGTGAGATGGAAGCACTTTTCCTGTTGCCCACTCATTCTGGTAACCTCTACTAGTAATTTTTAATTCAGGATATGAAATTTGTCTAAATGAGTGGTGCCTTACACTTGTGAGATGCTGTTGCTAATCTTTCTAGTCATTACCCTAGATATTCTTGCTCCTGGATGGTTAGCTTAGAAGAGTGTGGTGCTGATATTCTTGCTCCTGTCTTAGCTCCTGTGTCTTAATATGGATTGAAATGACAAAACTGCTGGTGAGGAAAGGCAAACACTTTCTGTTAAAGATGCCTGGGAATCTTAATATTTCTTCTTTCTGTTTAAAAAATAATTCAAGGGATTTGGGGATGGAGGGGAGGGTACACAGGGCCTGAAGATTGAATTTTGTTTTCTTCCAAGTCTGTCATTCAGTGCAGTACAGGGAGGAAGAACAGAAGCCAGGAGTAAGAAACTTGATTTCCAGGCTCCTGTGGGTGGCCTCCACATCGTCCATGGTGTCCAAATCTACTGTTTCTGTGTTCATGGCCCTGGCTTTGTGTACCACCAAATAACACTGCAGTAGGCTGATGTGGGTTGAATGTTTATTCCCTCCAGAACACATGAGGAAGATTAATCCCCAATGTGGTAGTGTTGAAAGGTGGGGCCCTTAGGAGGTGATTGGATTGTGAGGGTCCTGACCTCATGAATGGATTAATGGATTAATGGATTAATGGGTTAATGGATTAATGGGTTACCATGGGTGTGGAGTGGTGGCTTTATCGGGAGAGCAAGTGAACCCATTAATGTATTAATGGATTAATGGGTTACCATGGGTGTGGAGTGGTGGCTTTATCGGGAGAGCAAGTGAACACACAAAAAAAATGCCCTTCTCAGCCCTTGCCATGTGATACTCTGTAGAGAGTCTCCACCAGGATGAAGGCCCTCACCAGATGTACTCCCTGGACCTTGGACTTGTCAGCCTCCAACATGTAAGAAATACATTCTATTTCTTTATAAATTACCCAGATTCAGGTATTCTGTTATAAACAACAGAAAATGGACTAATAGGCTGAATAATGGCCACCCAAAGATATTAGGTCTTAATTCCTGGAATCTGTAAATATTACAAGGAAGAGACATTGCAGATATGATTAAATTAAGGATCTTGGTGTGGAGAGGTTATCCTGGATTATCTGGTTATGCCCTAAATCCAATGTAAGTGTCCTTATAAAAGAGAGGGGCAGGGGGAGGAGATATACCATAAAAAGAGAAGGTGATGTAAAGACAAGCAGAGATGGGAGTGATGTGGCCACGAAACAAGGAATGCTGGTGGCCACCAGAAGCTGGAAGAGGCAAGGAATAGATTCTCCCCTAGATCCTCCAGAGAGAGCATGGTCCTGTTGACACCTTGATTTTGGCCCAATGAAGCAGATGTTAAACTTCGGGCCTCCAGAACTATGCAAGAGTAAATTTCTGTTATTTGAAGCCATCAAGTTTGTAGTAATTTGCTATGATGGCCCTAAGAAACTGTACAACCACCACGAATACAAGGGTACTTCTAAACATTCGTTGAAATATTTGTATTATCTTTCAATTTTGTTTTTCTGTGAACTTTCTGAAGTACCCTCATATGATCTGAGGACTTATGATGGAGGTAACCCTGTGCGAGGGGCTGGGGATTCAGCTGTGAAAAGGAGAGTCATGATTTCTCTCCCCATAGAGCGTTTATCTGGGGCCATGGGTGGCAGTCATCAACTAAAATTAATATTTTAACTTATCACCATTCTGCAGCTATTCTATTTTTTTTTTAATTAGAAATCATTTTATCAGAGATAGGTAAAAATAAAAACACCAAATTACCTAAGATAAGGAATGAAATGTCTTTGCAACTGTAATAAAGGTATATTAAAATGTGCCATCCAGTTTTCAAAAATCAGTTCTGTTTGCTATGTAATTCATGGAAGGAAAAGGGACTTCCGGAGTGATTTTTAAAAATAGTTAAAATATTTATTGAAGGCATCTCTGTGTGAGCACTTGATATGTATTACTTAAAATCCTTATAGACACTGCATTCTCATTTTTCATATTAAAAAACTGAATGAGAGATGTTGAATAACTTTCCCCAAGGAAAGAAGATAGAATATAGCCGGGCTTATCTCACTAGTTCCTGGTTACTTTTTGTTCTCTTAGAACCCTTAAGACAGCTGCCAGTTGGATATCAACGGTCAGCTGTGCTTCTGGGCAAAAACACACAGCATACACTGAACCAGGGGTGGGCCTGGCAGGTGGGGAGTCTCAGTCCCACCTTGACCAAGTTGAGAGCTCCTGGAGGCCTAGTTGTGCACAAAGTGGCAGCACTGTATAAACTCCTCTTGTTCAGTATTAACAGTCATGCACACATTTCACAATGACTATTAATAACTGGTAATCCAAACCCATATCCACCCACCTACATATCTACTCATCCATCCATCTTTATTCAGCACAAGTAGGGAAAATTCAGAAATG